CAGGTCTTAATACAAGGCTACAGTGTAACTAGCGGTGGTTTGGATGGAATTATTCTTCATGCCATTGCCTGAAGAATACTTGCATAGCTCTGCCTTTAAAGTGGAATATTTTAATGAAGATACTTAAGTCATATACTTTAAACAAAAGACTTTGTTTCTCTTTCAGATTGAATTTTAAAATAAGTCCTATAATCAGCTGCTTGGAGAATGCCTTCAGAAGGGCAGAAGTAAGGGGTGGGGAACTCAGGGGGAGGAAAGTTGCCTTTTTCCATTCTTTCTCCAGTTGCCATTCCTCTTTTCACTTGCTTTCATCTGCATGCCTTCTTTTATTTGTGTTTTGACTACCATGGTATAGTTTGCCTTGAGGCTGTGCCTCTCCACATGTCAGTGGCCAAGCTTGTTTCAGAATTCCCCTTGATATTAGAGTTTTGATTAAAAAAAAAAAAAAAAATCCTGTAATATGCTACTGTCAGCATGCTAGGTGAGATTAAGATTGCCCAGCTATGCTTTCTTAGAAGGTTAAAATAGATGGGTATTCCTGGAAACCTTCACATGGTGTGCTGAGGAGCGAATAAAGGAATTTACTCTGCTTGATGTTCTTCCAATACTGTTTCACAAATCATTACTATAACTATTTGTCCTCACATAGTTTCAAAAGCTATTTACATTGTGAATCAAAACTTGTCATTGTAAAACACTTAATTATAGTTAAACAGTGCGGTGGCTAAACTGATGCTAAATTACCTTTTTATGTGTAACTGCTTTGTCTTGTCAAGATTTTGTTGTAACTGGGTTTGGGCAGAATTTAGTTGCCATCTCTCTGTGGCTGTAGGAAAAATCTGATAACCTCTGTTAGTGCAGGGGTTCCCTTGCACCAGGTAATGATAATTTCAGAGCTTAAGTAGCTTCTCTTGCCTGTTCCTTAGACAGATTACCCCAACTTGGTCGTATGTGTAAGTCTTCTACAGAGTTCATGGCTTAATTCTTTGGGGCCTATAATAGGAATATTTACACACCTAGTATATAGAATTCTGAAATCCTTGCTTTTTTACCCAGTAGCTTGAGAAATACCTGGGCTAAACAAGAATTCCAAAGCAGCTTGCGTTCTCTTGCTTGCTTCTGCAGTATGGAGTGCTTTTTAAAGAGTTTTAAAACTGTTATTCTACAGGTTGCTTTTTATTGTTTGAAACTTTGCCATTTCTATACTTTGTTTCAAGTGTGGATATCAAGTTTATATGAAGTTGCTGATTTGAAGCGATACCGGTTAAATGATTGATTTAAATTATCGGTTATTGTAAGTGGTAGACCTAGAAATTTTTGTTGGAAAGTTGATTCTCCTCAATTTGTAACCCTTAAAATATAGATTTGCAAGTAGATACAGCTTTTGCATTATATTTGGTTCTTCCTTCTGACTATCTGTAAAAATGCACTGTATTCACATTTAAACAACCTTACAGCTTGATAGACAATTACTTAGTTTTCTAATTCTTTACATTATGATGGTAGAAATGTTGACTGGTATTTGTTTCCTTTTTTTTTTTCTCCTCACTTTGTGTCAAACTGCATTTTGATAGTAATGAAATGCAACACTTTAAATTTAGTTACACGTTATGTAAAATTATGCTGAATGTGCTGCAAACATATGCAAAAAGGTAACAGATGTTATTAATTTAAAATAACTGATTAAATAAATGAGATATCTTCTGTAGTTAGTGAGTTGTATGGAGGTTTCTGGTCATTGTCCTTTCTTATACCAAAACAAATAGGTTTCAGGCTGTCATTTCATGATCACTCTGTGTTGATGCTGCTGTCCTGAAAAAAAACAACAAAAAAACCCGCAGTTGTGTTTGCTCCAGCACTACTTCTCACCCTGGCTGAAGAAAATACTCAAGTTAAATGTAACCAGGTAGTGCTAGATTATGCAAAATTCAAATCATGATCAGTTATGGCATCATCTTCTCGCAGCCTGGTTCTTACTTCTTTGCTAGGAAAGAATAAAACTCCTAATTTGTTCATTAATATTGAATTAATTGCAAATTAATTAAAGACCAATTGCTGTTAAATGGAATAAAACCTTGGTACCTGCAAAAAAAGCTGTCGGCACTGCAAGTGAATTTTATCAGTTCAGCACAAAGAGATTTTACATGCTTCATGGTAATTCTTCTAGATTTATGGTCCAGTTCTCTTTAAAAATGCTTGACAGTTTCTTAACAATAGATTATAGCACGTTTAGGACTCCAGATATGTTGCCATAATTTCAAAGGTAACTAGAGGTATGTTCTTTAACTGCAAATTATTATTTCTCGTAGTCACTTACCTGAATTAGGCTCTTGCACTATAGATTATTATCTTCCTCTCCTGTTCTAAGACCTTTCTCCAACATCCTCAGCATTTTCCTTAGTGTTGGTGTCCTTGTCTTTCTGTTTGGAGTTTCTTCTCGAAATGCCACCTTTTATTCAACTTTGAAGCAGCTTGTGTTAAGACACGTCTACTCTGCTGACAGAGGCCTCTCTCTAAACTAGGACTAGCAGCCAAGCCAGATGCCCCCAAATTTGTTTCTGAGGTGCCTCCCCCAAAATGAAAAGCCTTACTGCACAGACTTGCTGTACCTTACAAACCGAAGTGCAGTACCATGGAAATAAGGCTGTATGGTTCCTGGGCCAAAACGTTGCAGGGTCAAATGGAGCCACATTTTTCCTGGTAGATCTCTGAAGCTTTGTCTCCACTTGCTCAAGGAGTTGTGCTGTGTTTTACAGAGTGAATATGCTGACTAGCTGTTGGGTTTATCTGTCTGGTATGTATACTGTTCCCTGGCAATTTCCTTCTGATATGTTTTCCTGTTCTCCCAGCCTTTAATTGTGCCAACACTTGAGAGGATGTGCACCAGCTGAGGTAAAAGTGTTTGGTAGTACCTTCATCTCAGCAGGACCTGGGAAGAGCTGCAGAAGCTTTAAGCTTCGCTCCTTCTCCTTCCTGTTTGACAATCCCAGCCATCAGCTTGGGTAACATGAGATCTTTTTGAAGTTCAAATGGAAAACTTCCATCTCCCAAAATCCCTTCAGGGACTCCTATCAAAGTATTCTGGGCTCTCATTTCAAATAAATGATAGATGGTTTAAGCTAAAAAAAAAAACGCCAAGGAAAATTGAAGCACTTGTCACAGAGAAAGAGCCTGCAATTGTTTCACCCCCATGCAAGCAGGAGCAGTGCTTTTCTTCCTTGTAAAGTGCTGTGGGATTTATTAATGTGGTGAGAGAACTGGATATGATTCCCAGGGCTCCAGATGGCACTTGCCAGATGGGAGCTCATATTCTTTTGTCTAAAGATGCTGGTGTTGATGGCATGGTGTTTGAGAATGCAATAACCTTTTGTGATGGATTTTCTTACTAGATAATGGTTTTAGTAAGTGGTCAAGTACTCCCATTCATTGCAGTGTCTGTAAAATTATTTTAATCTGATGAAAAGGTAGCCCTACTGGGTATGGTATTGGATGGCAAGGTTTGGTTTGTTTCCTTGGTTGAATGTACAAATCCCTTACATATGCTAGACCAGTGGAGGCATCATTGGCTTCTACATCTGATTCCTTTACAAAAATGGTTTTCTTATTCAGGTCTACTGCTCTGCACAGAGTTCCCATTTGAAATCTGTGTGTATTTTTGCTTCAAAATCTTTGTCAAAAACATTGGGCCTTGTTGCCCGACATTTTATAAGCAGGGTCAACAATCAGGAGGTTATGTCTTTATAAAGAAAAGGCATGTTAAAGAAACTTAGAATCATAAAATCATTTGGATTGGAAAAGACCTTTAAGATCATCAAGTCCAACTGTTAACCTAACACTGCCAAGTCCACCAC